TTAGACATTTTAATCATAGCAAGTAACACATAATATAGTAAGTCGTATTATTATTTTCAAAAAAATAAACATGCGTATAACAGTTTTTTTGTATTTTTTTATCTGTTTCTCTTTTATAGTTGTTTTAAACGATTACTCGTATAGTAAGAACACAAAACAAGAGAGAAACAATTCCAAAGTTTCATACAAATTATTTAACAGTCAAGTTAATTGATCGCCGAAAATCAAGGCACAAGTTATACGAAATTCCAAGAATAGGTACAAGCATGTAATGAGAACAACTAATTGATGTAGAAAACTGGCTTTTAAAATGGTTGTTACCGAAGCGAATAGAAGGAGAGAAAAGACAAAAAGCACGTGAGAAATATTACATGCCGATAATGCAACACCATCTTAAATACATGTTTAATTTATAAAAAGATATATGTATACACACACGCACACACATACACACTTATATATTTGTCCTCTCGAGTTGTTCCAAACTTTACACATTCACATTTTTTGCTTTATTCAAATTTCTGATTAAAATTAAAACAATAAATGTGATTAAACATTTCAATTCTTAGACTCTTTGAAAATGTCACACCAAATATATAAGAATAAATGTGATATATTAAAGTACGAAAATATATGTCTAGGGCTGACACTTCGAGCAAAACGAAATAGCGGCGTAAATTAAGCAATTTCTCTGACAAGTCAATTTTGCTAATTGACGATTTATTCTCTTTAGAATTGCGTTTTGCACTTAGCGCAAAATACGAACTTCGCGCTTGATTATTTAAACGAGAGAAATTTTCGCCAATTATTAGCTCAGCGGAAATTCCTCTTATTAACTTCAAGAGTATCAATAAAAACGTGTTGAATTTGTTAGCAAAATTGTGAAACTAGTGTGGGAGAGTTAGAGTTATACACATCACTTCACGGTAACGCAAAAGAGAATATCATATGTCAGAAGCGAGAAAAAACCATAATAGTTTTCCGCGCGTTTTCAACAGAGCAAACTTTTTTTAATCGGCAATCAATTAATAGTATGATTTAGAAATAATAAAAGTGATTTAACAATAAATCACACGGTCGCAATTTATTATTTCTGGTGAAGGTGTAAAACATCCGGGTTATTTCGGAATTTGATATTTTGTCACGCGCATTTTTATATTAAATTAATTTCCGCGCAAAATATCAACGCTCCCGAAAAGATTACGGCGCGGTTTAATTTTAGCACAAAGAACTGTGCATGCAATTCCGAGAGAGTGTAACACACGACAAATTAATTTTTTACTCAATCGTAACCTTTATCTCACTTGTGAACAACGTGTAGCGGCAATTTTTGTGTTGTAATACTACGTAAGAAGTGTTCGTTCGCGGCATACCTATGTGCCAAAGCAATGAAGATACAGTGCGACATAAGTGGATTATCCTGAACGTTTTGAGGCCGCATCAAACAAAAGTTGTGTAATGTGTTTTCGTGCTTGCTCTTTACGTGCCGAAGAGAGTCGGCAGAAGAGAAATCGAAGTTAGAAGCCGATTTTCGTGCCACAGGGCTACATGCTTCTCACGTGCTTGCGGTTTGTACAACGTGTGGGTCGAGGACTTCGATGTCTCGCAAATTAGATTCGATACCCATTAACCATTCATTATGGAATATATCTGTGATTTGCGGCTTTCATTTTGTCGTAACGTTTCGCACCTGCGTATCTCTCTATCTTTACATTTAACTGACCCGTAAACAACTGACTGAGAAATATGATATAAAGCCGGTTGTGTGCTCAGTTTTTAAAGATTACGGCGAAGAAATTGCTCTGTTTCTCTTTTCAATTATTGCATTAAGCTTGATTTGCGCGAACTAACGAGATGACGATGTGATTGTCTTGCAATTGCAGAAAATCGCAATTCCGTTCGTAGTTAATATTGACTTTTCTCTCGCAAGATTATTCTCTCTCGCAATATATCGATCCGCGTTAGTATTGAGTCAATTATAAATATTAGCGCGGGGAATCGATCTTCTCACTCGTCATTTTGCGTTATATCGATAAATTTGTACAACTCAAAACTAAGTGAAATAAATATAGGTTTTTCTTTTATTGCAAAATGCAACATATAAATAAATAAGTGATAAATTTGTGCGAATTGAGTTTAATAAATATATTGCAAGTAACGATATTGCAGCATTATTGTGCGCACGGACAAGTAGAGAAAAATACGGAAAATACTGCGCTGTAGAGAAAAATTGTTGGAAAATTCAACAAAATTCTAAAGTACATACTTCAATATAGTGAAAATTTGGAAATAAACAAGAATGTAATTTGTTTATAATATATAATTTGCTGATAATAAAAAATATATATATACATTTATATAATATATATAAAAAGAAAATATAACACGTGAACGTAAAACAACTTATATTAACTTACAATAAAAAATCGCAATATTGGCAAACAAAACTTTAACTCACTTATCGTCGGATTTTGATACTCAAATTTTACGTCTGCGCCGCACACATGTGTTAGCGCCAACCGACTGTGGCAAATGACTTAATACGTTTCCGCAGACAGCTCTGTGCGATATACGCAGCCGTTTTCGCGTAAATAATTCTTGTCGCGTGCGACGTCAAACGGAACGCACGTCACCAAACGTCCTTATGATTTCGATGGTATTCTGAAATAGCTGGTTGATCTCAGTGTGTACCCCCCGAAAAACGCGCGCGGAAAACAATGCGGTCGTTTCGTCGACATCGCTTATTGTTCCAGGAATACAATACGAGAGAGAGATGTGACGGCAGCATTTATCTGCTTTTCTCCGCAGCGCTTTCGGAGAACACAATAAACTATATAGAAATTTTATAATAATTTTTTTTCTCTCGTCTTAGAATTTAATTACAGCACTTATCTCTTTTCTCGCGATCTCTTTACACGGAAAAATAAACGTTGTTAGTAACAGGTTATCGTTCGAATTTTTTGAGTATGATCGAAAGTTGATAATAAAGAGGATAGTAGAACATTTGATGTAAAATGAGATCCTAAAATGATCGTTCGACTGAAAGTAAACGAGAAGATTTCCGCGAACGACACACGGAGAGAGCGCGTTAGAGTTACAAAGGATGAGAAGGTCTAATTATTTGCACACGTGTAGAATGATTGGGCAGACACGAGCTGTTGCTCAATGCGTGCTACTTGATGTGACGACGGAGAGAGAGAGTAAAGTATTCCACTTTGAAATGCATGTGTTTAACAATTGTCGCCCGAACGACTTGGGGAAATTAAACTTACTTAATAAAAGTTCGTGTAAAAAAAAGCCTAATTATATAAGATCTTCGTGAAGCGATTTGAAGATGATTCTCGCTTCTTTGATTAAATCTGTGCCAGCGCGGAAGCGTCACCGACTTTGTTCGTATTGTATTTGTACGAAGAGGAATTCTATTGTAGATTTGCGCCCGCGTCTCCAGTCTTCGCGTTTGTCTCGGAAGAACATAAAGTGCAAAAGGAATTGTCAAGTTTAATTTCCTGGCTGGAAACTCAGCGTGTAGTGCACTTTATTGCATGACAAATGAAGACGATCTGTATATTTTACATGTGTACGATGATTATTGTGTCCCTGTTGAAACTCAATCGGCGATAGTCAACGAAATATTATGAAACGTGTAATTAAATTCACGAAATTCTCTTTGCACAACCGATATTTTTTCCTCTGATTTGCGTGTCTCATGTTTGCGAGTTTAATTGACGAGCCGGAAATAGTTGCGCGCGAATTTCAATAACATCATCAAAGAGTCTTATAAATAACGATTGTTTGAAATTTTAATAAATAATAGATGTATAATAGATAAAAATTTATCTTGTTTAACATTGCGTGGTTTTTACTCTGATGTAACTCAAAAAAATTGTTCTTTCAATGAAATAGTTTCTGTTTTTAAGAAACATATTGCGCGTATTTGTATTTAAATAGACATATAAATGATTTCTTGTACACTTGATTTGCGAGTGTAAATCATATTTGCATTAATTTCACTTCTACTATTTAAACAATATAAATATTGATTACAAATCTCATTGTGTAAATAGCACCTGTCAGATTTAAATAAATAATTCCAACTGCAAAGATTAATTAAAAGTTATATTTTGTTTAATTAGAATTGGTTATTCCTTGTTATTGTTCATAATGATGTTTGATTATAAGAGACTTGTGTGTATATGTGTGTGGTGGATAAATGTTTGTAGCAGACACACGATAATTTAACACACTGCATTATTTTACACTCAGGTGACAACTTCGATCAGCTTAAACGTTATAACATTACTTTTCTAGTACGCTCACAAGATTGTCAACAATGATATTTCTATTTTAAAAAAAAAATTACAGAATTCTATATATTTTGTTTCAAAATGTATCTTTGATGTGATATATCGCGCACATCAAAATTTAATTAAAAATTTTTCAAATTCTTTTTATATTTTTTTTGTATTTTATTATATTTTTTAATTACGGCAAGATCTCTAGATTACGTATTAATATTGTTATAAAATATATTTTTTTGTATTTTTTGAGTACTATACATTAGTTTTAATTGCACACTGTTACAATAATATATCTCGGCTCTTTTGGATAATTATACACGAACGAGGCGTTACGTTCAACATACGAGAGTTTCTGATTTAAAATATCGACACAATTCGCAATAACAATTTACACATTTATTACATTCGCTATTGCATAGCGTGAAATTGCTATATTTCTCTCTCGCGTGATTGCATTTGAAAATTATTGAATTACACACATTACAGATAATATCTGATATATATCTTAGATTAAATATGGACTGGCATATGCAAATAAATAATTAAAACAAAATACGTATACGCGTAAAAGTCGACTTTGCATAAGTTAACCAGTAAGAAGAAAACAGTTCTTGTTTCCTAGAACTTACTTATTATTTTTAGAATTTCTACGTCATTCTCTGCGTAGAGAATATGAAAGCAGCGTTATTTCTTTTGTTGCAGATACATGGCTATTATGTATCCTCTTCAGCATCGTAATTCGCGCAAGAAAACCGTGATTACTTTAATTTTAATCTGGAGTTTCTCGTCCGCACTAGCAATTCCGTGCCTTTTATATTCCACAACAACATCGCGCAGGCAAGTATAACCTCAACCAATGCGGATTATTAATCCGAACATTTTTTTTTTTTCACAAAAATTATTTTCTATTTTATTGTATATTTGCACAAAAAATTGAAAAAGTAATAGAATAAATAGTGAAATAAGAGAAATTGTAATCGAAAATAATTCTCATGTGACACTATTCCTCACAACACTTCCGAGAAAAATGTCAATACTATGTTTTTGTTTTTTATATAACATATAAACATATTTTATATAACAAAACAATCTTAGAAGACACAGAATATTCCTCAAACATATTCTCCGTTTCGAGACACGTTCAGTGATAGTAAATGTATCACGTTGCGACTGAGATTCCAGTCACGTTCGCGAGGATGCTGCATCGCATGGCAGGGAGCATTGCCAAATCACTTATACTGTGTAATTGTGAAAAAAAATTTCGAATGTGATTTAATTTTTTGTAGTTTTTTTTTTGTGCATTCGACGAGAGAAGAAAAACAATTCAGTTATAATTACTTGCGATCTAATTTTGTAGTTATAAAGTTATACATTTGTGTTGTGTTTGGGAAAAAAAAAGGAGTTAGGAGAGCATGTGTCTCTTCAGGAATATCCTTTAGTTTATACGAGCAAAAAAGCCAGATCGTTTAGACGCGCCATTGTAAGAAAATGCACGTAGCATAATCCTCTTTGTCGTGTAGCGACTCAATTACTTAGTTCATGGCTTCTGCACAATCCACCTTCTTGTATCGTCCGCGTCGATATCCGCACAGAATAAAATATAAACTAAGATTTTATCTTTGCAAGTCATTTCATGGAAATTTACGCGCACGCATGTTAAGCAATGGAAAGTACCATAAATGTTATTCAATTAAGTCTAACGTTAATTGAGTTATATAATTTTTCTATTAACAGAAATTGAAGGATTTTTACAGTAATAATTTACAATTTCTTGCAGTTTTTAGATTTATGTAGAAATCTACAAATATATTCATGTACTCTATTTGTTCAACAGTTTATACTCGCTTTAGGAGATGATTCTCTAAGTTTCTTATCATCTTAAGTAAACAGAAAAATCTTTTCACGGCATACCAATGTTTCTGTTTATTTATGTGTCTTTTCTTCGTGTTTGCAATTTGTAATGATTGCAAGATGATTTGAATACAAACCATTTGAATACAAACAAATTTGCAGTTTAACGAAAATTTCAAAAAAAATAAACGTTGTTTTCGCGATAAAAAATCAGTTTGAAAAATTTTTTAAAGTAAACTATTAGTTTTAAAAATCTCACAGTCATATCTTATATTTGCCTTGGTTTGGTTCGATTCTAAAGTTGATCTCTCTTGATGAACTCTTCAAAGCCGGTTCTACTCTTTTACAGTTAGTACAGTTAATTAGTTTAGTAAGTTTTTTAGTAAGTTACAGTTAGTACAGTTTTAAAACAGTAATAACGTGATTTTTTTCATAATAAACAATTTTTCATAAATTTTGAAGTTAAAAACACTGGCAATATAGGAAGCAAACTTATACATAATACAATCACGGAAAAAAAAATAGTTTCTACCACAGCTAATTACGGTTTGCTGAAATGAATTTGCTGCTGTAACTATAAAATTTTCTATTACATAGAAACAGTTTGTTGATATTCCTAAATATGTCGACATAATAGCAAAATATGTATGTCTTGTAGCACTAAGAGCTTAGGTGTCCATAATACTACCAAAATTTAGGAACCAAACCTAATTTTTAGCTGTGAGAGCTAACTTTTTTTTTCCGTGAAACTGTGTTAAATTTCTATCGAAATACACGCAAATATACATATATACACATATATAATCTTGCGTGCACAAAACGAGCGGATTATTCTAGAAGGGCGTTTCATGGAAATCGAACAATCCTAAATGTTTGTTTATTATTCTTACATTTTCTTTTCACATGAAAGTTTTATGGCTATTTAAATTTATATCTTCAAAGATATCTCCTTTCGCGCAAAATCTATTTTATGTTTTCTTTACCTGGTCAATGTTGCGTAAAAGCTTTTGCACTGACACACTTTTCTTTTTCATATCTGTCTCTCTTTCTCTCGACACATTTTCTCCTCATCATGATTTTTATCCTCCTAAAAGAACCCTAAAGAATTTCTCAATTTTTTCATCATATCGATATATACCGATATATTTCGATACATATTCATCATATGTATTGATATGTGTACCGATATTTTTTCATATGCACATACTGATAAGTTTACCAATATTTCAAACTTTAATTAGAGGATTCGATAACGGATTTCGATAACGGATCATATATAACGAGTTTTTTCTATTATTGTTTCTCGCAACATCAAATATGCCAATTGTATTAAGATTGTTCTACATATTTGACTTTCTATTCAGATCTATTCAGAACTATTCAGATCGGTGATTTTATTGTGTGATTTTCATTTTGTGCAGGTATAGAGGATCGACCAGAACTTCTTGCTATCTATCGTGGCCTGATGGTGGCTATTTAAACAGCCGAACGGAATATTGGTGAGCTTTTGTTTTCCCGGAATTTTTTCTTACACAAGTTTTTTTTTGTAGCGAGTTTGTGCGTTCGAGAAATTGACGCTATTAGACACTTTAATAATAGGAACGGTTTCTGCACATGAAATCGCGTGCAGAAAAAAGCTCTGTATAAACTGTATATATACAGTCGTCGATCCATTACGAATGAGAACGAGATTGAATCGACGATTGCCCTAAGAAGATAGGACAGAAAATTGCTATACATCTGCTATCAACATACCACCGGGGGAACGGATAAGAGAGTAGTTTGACCTAATTAAGGCGTTTTGCGTTCTGATCTATTGTCATGGGCGCTATTGTTTTCGTTGATAAGGATCATTAGCAATTACAGTTCTATAACTCGGTTGCTTACCATAACTCATTCTCGCGCAAAATACTGAGATAACAAAAAATCGTTAACACAAGTGAATTAATTAATTAACTTGCGATCTCGTAGTTTACTTTTTTATTATTCATTATGTTAGTCTTGAGAAACTTTATCTAGAAAACTGATCGAAAGAGAAAACCACACTTTTGGTAAGATAAACCATTGGTTTTTTTTGTACTTAAAAAATATATTCGGAATAAAACACAATACCAAGTTTGCAAATTTAGAACGGTGAATAAAAGAACCACGTAAGTGAATAACGATTTGCCGGTGAAGAGTTCAGCCACAAAACTAAGATAAACGTGCTGATAGTCTCTGTAGATGTTTCTAAAACGAGATCTATTTCGAAGCACGTTATACGCCACTCGGTGTAAAAAGAAAAGTAGAAAGAAAGAACTAGTAAAAGAGAAGTCAATATTAAAACCGTCTTGGTTTTTTGGTGAACGATAAACACATATGAGAGTCAATTTGAAGAAGAAAATCAAGTTCGGGATAGTTTTTCTTTTTTATTTGTGACAAAAATCCGCGAGAAAATGAAGAATGAGAAATAGATAATGGAATAAAAATTGCAAAAAAATAAATATAGACATTTATCTCTATAGTGAGCATCAGAATTTAAAAAAAACTCAGTCGTTGAAGATCCTCTAAACCGTGAGAAACACTTGAATTGAAAAAAAGACTCCAAATTATATAGATAAATAACAGCTTTGTAAATAAACATCTTTAGTACATATGTATCGCGTAATCAGAACTTATGTCTTTGAAGCTTTCATTTCTCAGACAGTCCGGAAATTCTTACTGTTGTTATCTCGATACATTTCCCCCGCGAACATTGCGCAACACCGAAGTTACGTCGAAGTGGATGCTTCTCTCTGTTCCAAGATACGTCTACAAACGGACGTCTCTGCGAGAGGTTTATTTAACAACAGATACAACAATTTTGCTACATATAATAGGGTAATTTAAAACATTTCAGCAGAGAGAATGACATTCTTTGCGCGAAGTTCCATCTCGTGTATTGTGTTCCGAGTAATCTCGCAGAATGTTTCTCTTATGTGAAATTTAAGTTACCTGCGCGACTTTCGCGCTTGATACGCTTGGAAACTAGAGATCGTAAGTGTTCGCAAGGACAACAAGGTTGGAATTGCACCACTGTCGGGAGAACAATAGTCGAATTATTTTACAGCGAGAAAATTATGAGCACACTTGTTACATCAATTATCACGTAAAGCATGTAAGACACTTTTTAAATAAAACTTTTATCCGTATTTTTATCGTATTCCTGACTGATCGCGGCTTTCAACGCACGTATATGCGTATTAAGATTGTATTCAGGGTGAGATAAAAGATATGCCAGATTATTCAAATTTTGCCAGTAGATAATATAAAAAAAAAACATTGTGCAAAATCTCAGCTCCTTTTCGAGTCTTGTTTAAAAAAATACGATTTTAATTTAACACGAGTTCTTATGGGATTTCACGATATTCTGATATAAATTAAAAAATAACTGTAGATGTAGATATGCCGTAATTTTTTGAAATTTTTTGCAGTTGTTAATAAATATCTTAAAAACAAATTCCACTCGAAAAAATAGTCATTTCGAGAATATCACATAAAATATAAATTTATATTTTGCTAAAATTAATAAAAATATAATAAAGAAAAATCTAAACGCTCGTAGATATAACAATAAAAAAGTTAAAACAAGGTCAAAAACGAGCAAGCAAGTAGGTTGTATATTATACTAACTTCAAATAATACATTATAAAATCGCTAACATACGTGAAACGTTTCGGACTCACAATGGAGCCTTCTTCAGTCACAGTAAAAACATAATAAACGCAATAACAGAAACAGATATATAATACATTCGCAGGAAAAGTAGTAAAAACATAATAAACGCAATAACAGAAACAGATAAAAATAAATTCGCAGGAAAAGTAGTTGTAGTAAAATGTCATATGCTAAAATTGATCCTCACGGTTGTCCATTATAAAAAATTGAGTCATGACAATAATGTATAAAGTCTGAATGACTCAATTTTTTATAATGAACAACCGTGAGGATCAATTTTAGCGTATGACATTTTACTACAACTACTACTTTTCCTGCGAATTTATTATATATCTGTTTCTGTTATTGCGTTTATTATGTTTTTACTACTTTTCCTGCGAATATATTATATATCTGTTTCTGTTATTGCGTTTATTATGTTTTTACTGTGACTGAAGAAGGCTCCGTTGTGAGTCCGAAACGTTTCACGTATGTTAGCGATTTTATAATATATTATTTGAAGTTAGTATAATATACAACCTACTTGCTTGCTCGTTTTTGACCTTGTTTTAACTTTCTTATTAATAAAAATATATATTTAATATACATAAAACAATTATATTTGTAATTGTATACATCAATTGTTACGTTTTAACGAACTTTTATGATTAATACATTTCCAGTTTTTTATTTATCTTATGTTGCAAGTAGAGTATAATCCTACTCAAAAGTATCAAAAGTGAACATTAAAATGGCACACACACACAAAATATACGTAAAAACTTTTTCCTAGTCATTAAAAGTATAATAAATAGTTTTTTTAAACTTATTTTAATACAAATAATACTTTTCTAGCAAACAATTATTATCTAAATATTAAAATAGCTTCGGTTTACGCTATGTTTCTTAAACTTTTGACTGAGATCTTACCCTGAATACAATCTTAAATATCTGCGAAGTACATACGTACATACTGTCAATTCGGTCGCGCACAACTATTACCATGCGCACATGAGTATTACACATATATCAGTATTTAAAACTTAAATGCACTTTAGTTAATAAAGACAAATTCCCCGTCCCGCCTTCTTGAGTAATCATCGTAGCTCAAGCCGGGTGTGTTATCTCTTATGAAACGAGTTACGACTTCAATAAAACTTAGTGTAATCGGTCGCGGCATTCTTTATGCGCGCGCGCGTGTTTCACATAAATTATTTATTTCCGTAGCTACAATATCCTGTTCCTCTTGTTAACGTACCTGATCCCGATGACAGTGATGATTGTATGTTACTCGTGCATGGGACGAAAATTATGGGGCTCACAATCTATCGGCGAACAGACACACAATCAGAAGGAATCAATAAACTCGAAACGCAAGGTACGCTCTATCTGATATCTGACGTTGTCACTAACACGCAGTGCAGTTTGCAGTTCCACACTGACACAAGTAACATGCATGCAAAACATCTGTACGATAAACATCTGAAATGTTGGTTTGCACACCGATGTAAATAAACAGACTCTTTCAAATATATCTTAAAGTTTCTGAAAAAATAATTGCAATCGAGACTATAATAAAAAAATAAATATTATTACAACTCGATAAATTCTTGTTTAGCTTTTCATTTTGAATACTTATCAATCGTTCTTCGTACAACGCATATTTTATCTATTTACGTTACCGTTTACTTGCACATGTTCAAAGATCAAAACAAATTTTTGTAACATCGAAAAAATAGTTATTTGTGTAAATAACTAGTTCCTCATGCATTTTGCATTTAACTTCAAACCTGTTTTATCGATATCGAATCAATACTTGATCGCGAACACAACACGAATGTTGTCTATAAGCATAGAGGACTTGAGGACAATGGTTCTCTATTAAGTCCTCCTTAATATTCTCGCTTAACAGTGCACGCAACAACGGATATTGTTGGGATATAAGTTTTGGAATTAGATGCAAATAATTGCGATCGTGTAAGCGAGTTTTGCACGCAACTCTATTCCTGCTATCACACAATTGTTTCCTAAATTTGACTAAATATACACACTTTTGACGTGTACTTAATATATGTAGAAAAAAAACGGACAAAGAGAAAAAGAATCTAATAAAAAAAATCCATATGTATTAACTTGTCATAATAAAAAAAGGACAATAGTTCGAATGATGTATGTAACATTCACTTAATATTCTTTTGATGTGTTGCAGGTTGTAAAAATGTTTATCATTGTAGTGATAATATTCGCAGTGTGCTGGATGCCGTATCAAGGATTTTTTATTTTTGTATATCATCATCGTTCCTTCGTAGAAAAAAGTTACGTGCAACACGTGTACTTGAGTTTTTACTGGCTCGCCATGTCCAATTCTATGGTTAATCCGATCATATATTACTGGATGAACAACAGGTACACAATATTCATGCTATTGTCAACATTTTAGTTTTTATTTATTACTTTGCAGCGACGTATTTCGATTTTTACAGATTAAAATACGCGAAATTAAGAAATTGATTTATGTGGACGCGAAACGCGATAACTTTATGTGATAACTTATGTGCTTTTGAATTAATTTAACGACGTTATTAATATTGTGTTGATAGAAAAGATATCGGTGGAAACGTTTATGTAAATTTGCGATCTAAATATCCGATATGCGTGATATTTTTGTAGCGCTCAGCTATATGAACTCAATATACTTCTCAGAAAAACGTAAGTTTCCGCAATATCACACGTATTTGAAAATCGATAACTTTAACGAGAGAAGCAATTTCGAAATTAACGTTCGCTGCGAAATAAGATCGCAATACACATCGATATGTCACAGTGGAATTATCGCGATGACGTGTAAAAAAGTGCAGATGGGCCAATCTTTGGCTCAGCGATTAATCCGACTGAACTTCAAGTCCGATGCATTAAACGAAATTGACTTGAGCTCCAGTAACGTCCAATCAAAATGTATTACTTTGAAAACTTGGACAACTCGAGATATGATAAAACACACAGTCAGTGTGACAATCCCAAGATAAAGATAAAAACTCAATTCGAGCTTTATCGTCCAAAATATGTTTATTTTCAAACTTTGCCAACTTTTAAGTAAAATTATCTGATCCTGACAAAATTAATATTCGTAAGAAAACACAAGTATTAAGAACTACTCTCTCGAAGAGACTGAGAGAGATAGTAAGTTAATAATACTTATATTAATCGTCTTGTGCTTTAATCGGAGCTATTAATATCCACGGTGACGTCTCTTCATAAATCGAATAAAATGTTTATTATTAGAAACAATTAATGATTTAACCGACCATTTAAGTAATGTATTTAACGGCTGATATAAATGAAGTATATTATTTAATTGCACGGAATTTATGTGTGACATTGTTAATTAAGTTTTATAAATTTGTTTATTTTGTTTTTTTAATCTTTAAATCTTATAAATTTGTCACAAACTTTCTTTTTTTTAGATCTATGTATCCACACAAGAATTCAATTTTTTATAATTGCATTCCTTGCATGATAACGAACATTGATCCTTTGCAGTTGAATATAAAGTTTCCATTTTAATTACACATTTAAACATTTACGTATCGATTATATAGCGACCGTTCTGGTATTTTGCCGGTATTCGTTAAAAGTCTTTTTACCTCGAAAACCGATCAGACGCAATATGATCATCGTTATCAGATATTTTACTTCTGTTTCATTGCACCCTGAAGACTTCTTGTTATTGATCTATATAGTAGTATTACTTACATCCTTATTAGCCCGATATCCAGCTTGCTTTCTGCACATACTGTCAATAATTATCCACGAGAACGAGAGAAATGAGTGAGATACTTTATTTCTGCTCTCTTTGCAAAAATAATGTTAAATTATTATATAAATTTATAAACGGCAAGTATTACTTTAGTATTTATAGTTCAAAGTGTTCAACTGTTCATAAAATTTATAGAAAAGTTTCGTTTTTTAAATTAAGCAAGAAAATCATACGTACTGTTATTTTTCGGTAAATGATACTTTATTGTCAATCAAAATTATCGATTAATATTACGGTGAATAGATGTAAGATGTAACGATTTTAACATTTTATTAAAAATCTATGTATGCAAATGCGTAACATTTCTTAATGTCTTGTGGTTGCGTCGGCAAATTTATTAAATTTGTGGTCTGACATCTCTTGTTATGAAAACACAATAACATCGTGCGCAATATTTGCATTTCCCATCATTGCATACTCAACAACCACTGCAACCGCTCATAACGCCCGCTGCAGAGCTCCGTGAACTTCATTATCGTGCTATTAAAATGATATTGTGCAATCGCGCAACAGTCACAAATGTGTAATTGAATATCATTGATTTTCTTCAAAAATATTTACATTTATGTTGTGATGTATACTTGAATTTTGACATAAAAACACATGAATTTCATAGTAAAATTCATGCATTATTATTGTAATTTTGTGACTTTTATAATAATCTTTATTATGTTTTAAATCGTATATTGCAAAAAATCAGAACCAGATAATTTTTACTAAAATACATTGTTATGACTTATATGTTTTATATGATAAGATTTATATATAAGAACGTATCTTTTTTCTTTATTGAAAGATGGAAATATACTAGATATTATAACATTATCAACATTATTATCAATAAATAACATTTAACACTGTATGATTGATTCGCTGTATAAATGTTGAGATACAATCTTCGATCAGTACATACTGATACAAGGAAGAAATAGTATTTTTAGATTCCTTACGCTCGCTTGCTTTAAAAACTTTGTTTTATTTTAAAGGAATTATTCACTATCAAGTGGCTATCACTTCAAACAGAAGATGGAAACTGCACATAGAAGAAAACAAGAGAATAGAATTCTTTCAGCGATATGTATAAATGCATCATCTTTCTAAAATTATTATTATATGTTCCGTTTTATTATAAATATATAAACACTTTATTTATAATATCTTCTGCAAATATATATATATATATATATATATACTACATTTATATTTGTATAAAAGTTTTCCACTAACAATACGAGAAAGAGATTCATATAAATTCAGAATCATGTTTACACCGTCCCGAGAAAACCAAAACTTTTTCGTATCTCATCTCAACGAAAGAATATTGTTACATTGTCAAGACATTGAACTAGAAAGAGAAAGAGAATGAGGAAGGAAATTTTTCCAAGTCACACAAGAAAGCAAATTGTTTGTCTAGATTTGTAAAAGTCAGAGTTTACATTTTGTTATTCTTTTCGATCACGTAAATAAAAAAATACCTAATACGTTGTAATCATTAAAACCAAACAAAAGACAAAAATATTTTTTTTAGAAACAATCTAAAATACTGTAAAATATCAAATATCGTAAAATATCAAATATCGTAAAACATCAAATATCGTAAAGCTTAAAGTTTTTAAATTTTGATTAATATATATTCACCAACTTTATATTTGCTCAATTTTGACCTTTTATCTATCTTGTTTGTTGTTACTGCGAGCGTAATCCTCTTGACTTTGTTTAAATTTTTTAGTGTTTTATCCATATAATGTTATTTATAATGTTATCTATATGCAAAAGCAATGAGCGCGCATATCCGCTCACTGTTCTGCACGTTTATTCTACTGTTTTGAGATTCAGAGGATGAACAAAAGTTATTGACGAGTGCGACGCGTCACATGCTGCTTGTTAATTCTGTTGCAGGTTTCGCGTTTATTTTGAACTGATAATTTGTAAATGTTACTGCGTGATGGGTCGAACGAACGTGCGGCGCGGCGAGATGCAAGAATTGGCGACGCTTCAACGCTCGGGACTCGCAGTATGCAATTCGGGTGAGTACTTATCTTGCTTGGCGATAAGCGGCGGTACTCGACAAATCGACGACAAATTTCATTGCAATTCCTCATTTTATGCACAACACGTGAAATCTTTTTGTGCACTCGCTTACTGCTTGCAGTAAGCGAGTTATATCGCAACGGGAATCACATCGTTTAAAGATTTGTACGAGATATCTGGCGGCACGATGTCGTTTGTCCGTTTCCTTCGATTGAAAAATATATCCGCATAGCATTTCGCTTAAGAAAGAAATCGACGGAAAATGTTACTTCGAGAAAAAATTATTCAGACGTCTAGTTTATTTATTCTATTTCAGTTTTTTGAAAGAATATTATTTTTCGTGCGGCGTGTTCGTGCGCGATCATTTCGAGAACTGTCACAGAGAAATGGTGTCGAATCGATTGCATGTAGACAACACGCAATATCGTTACGGAGTCTTGTTATATCACCGAATTACATCGTCCGAAAGATTGGACAGACGGAATCGACCGATCTGATTTCCCGTTCAAAGAATTCGAACGAACGATCGTGACGCAAAGGACTTACCGTGACTACAAAGAGTTTAAATCGTTTATTTCTACTCTTTCGAAAATAGCACTTTATACGTAAGAGGATAAAGTATCTAGGAACTTTCTACGCATCACTTTATTTACTTTCCGTACGTACACCGCCGTCGCAAACTTATCAATAGAACTTTGTGGCTGTATAGAAAGAGAGCGAGATAGAAAAGTCGTCCGAACACATGAATAGCGGGTATATTTCATTTGTGCTCAATCGCCTTTGAAAATATGACATTCGAACTTGAGAGTCAAAAAAACTTTCTCTTCTTGCAATTTTCTCGGACATTTTTTTTTAATTTACTTCTTATAATAGAGAGAATGACACATCTGTAATGAAAGTCAATCCCGCTGACGCAAAAGTGAGTGAAGATTTCTGAAGAAAACACAAACGTATAATAATATCAATGTGTTTGTGAGGTTTTATTCGCGCAATTTCATGATAATGAGATTTCCATTTAATGAGAAATCGAAAACAAATATTTTTCTCTCGCAGCTTAAGAAAATTAAGGCATATTAATAGCGAGAAAACGTCAGCTGTAAAAATTAAATATCACACGCGTCAAGAGCAAACAAAATACATAAATTGACATTCGCGGATGAAGTCGCGAGTGAAAAATTTCGCCACGCGCGCGCACGTGGCTGACATTTAATATAATCGGCAAATAAGCGTGCCAGAACAAACATATACTTCTCAGTGTACTGTGTAAATTTAGTTTTCTTCTCTTGTACTCCGATTTCTTTAATAAAAATTTAGTCAAGTTTTATTTCGAAACTATTTTGATATAAATCAAAACAAAAAAGCAACTTTTTCGGTCGCGTTTCACTCCCTTGTAATATTTCACCCGTCTGCAGCGCTTTTATTGCGTAGCAAGAGGTGACATTTTTTTTTTTTTTTTTTTATTACCGTTGTGTGCACGCGTTGTACGCATACTTGCAAGGCAAGTATTTTATCACATATTTTATTTAGCGCGCGATGCGACACACTTATGTTGAAAAATGTTATCGTAAGATCTTGTGAAGTGGAAGCCATAAGTTTTTTAAATCACCGCGCTATATTTTTGCGTCAACTATCCGTGGTATTTCAACTTCTTCTCTTGGCGGGTGACTAATTCGTCCACAAACTTTTTCAGCGATCAGAAAAAGTTTCAGAGGAAGTATCAAAAGCTTTTAAGATAAAACCGGTGTGATAAAAAAAGATCGACCTGGCATGAGTCAATTTGCGCGCTTATTTGTCATTCTTTTTTCTGACTTCAAGCAATAGTGTGATCGTCGCAATTTATGATTCCGATCAAGTTGTATGATTCTCAAAAAGAAACGACAAATGCAATTACGCGACGATGTGAATCTATTGTGACAAAATTACGTATAACGCGCGCGCGTATAATTAGTTTGAAAAAATAATGGAAGTCTAATTGGAGTCTAATGCGGGTATTAAATTAAAAACACAATTCAAATAATTTCTCGCAATATGCGGAACTGCAAAAAATTATCTTTCGCGGTGTGTTTACGTAGGTCACGATCTAGCCACAAGAAGACGATTTCAGCGAATATTTGATTCTGCGCACTTTGATTTGCTTTCAGGTCGTTGCAAATCGACCTCTCTCAGATGGCGACCGAGCGTGGCAGAGAGCCAGATTCAAACGTTCAAAATGAATACTGTGCGAACGATGTGCGAGAAGCTGCAGTCCAAAGAGGACGTTGTCATAATTTGAATCAAATATTATACCTAATTATGCGCATTACGTGAAAATGACGTATTTGTTACAGATGATACTATAAACATTAACCTGTTCTGTGCGTTTTCATCGAGAGCAAAACAAACGCGGTTAGAACGCGGTTGTAGGTTTGCACACAATCATGTTAATTGGTAACAATAAGTTGGCAATAACAATAAGTTCACAAGCGTAATAGATATATTTTATCGTGACTTTTTTAAGAGAAGATTATTTACTTTCTTATACTTGTAAATGAGGATAAGAACTGACGAAGAGTTCGATGTTGTTTGTAATATTTGGATAATTATAATGTAAGCACGCGCGCGCGTAATTATACACATTTCTTTTTTATATGTCTCTTTTGTACGTGTACAAACATATGTTTGACATTCTCAAAAAACTTATTAATCTTATATTATTATATTAAATATATGACAAAAAATACTGTAAAATAAATGTGATTTAAACGTGGTTGTTGAAATCATTTTAAAACTTTTTAGGAAATGTATATTGATTTTTTACGGGTAACTGTTTTAATAAGAAGAAATTTCTCTCGTACTAAATTCGCTTTGTTGAAATATTTATAAATAAGTGACGTCGTTACATGTCAGCTTTTATCGATCGCTCTTTCGTTATAACTGCCAAATTATAATTTTACGTCGTTCTCATTAGCACGCATTAAGCTTTCATTACAAACTTTGAAGTTTAAGTCGCGAAAATTGTATATTGCGCTAATTCAAGGGATAAAATAGTACTTTTTGTTTAAGCAAGTTGCATAAAGCAGAAGAGAGAAATGTCTGTTTGAACGTTTAATTCAAAATATAATTCTCTTGGTTCTACAACTACTTAAAATTCAAAGTACGAAGAACAGTTCAGAATACGTTTAAATGTATGCAAATTACTTGTGTGTTACATATAATGTGGCAAAATAAATACGTAATTATACATATTATATATATAGAAATATACACGTCATAACTTTTTTATCCGTGTTGTCTCTTTTATCCCCGTTATTAGAAAATTATATGTCCTTTTTTATTATAAAAACAAAAGTAGAAAAACTATTTCTTTAATTATCTTGTTAATTATTTCGTTAGTAATTGATCGCAATTAACTATCGTAGCTAGCGTATGTAAATCATAAACCGGTGCACGCATTCATTTCAACGTGACAGCCTAATAGTCTGTGAAAGCCGAGCTGGTAATTTACTCTTACTATACTAATGCTTCGTACTAGAAATCAGTACGATTACTGCGACTACTATTTATGCAATATGAGCTGTTCTCTTTAGCTGCACACAGTATTTCAAAATGTTATCGCGCAAATACTGTGATACGCACGTAGAAATAATTATTTTTTAATAATTGTTTACTTGTATTATATATTCGCGTAGATATAAAACTTTTTATTGTGGTTTTACTTTTTTCATTACTAACAAAAATATCACGAAAAAAATTAATTAATTATTTTATTTCCTAACATGATATAAAGTTTCTTCCTAGTGAGAATTTTAATTATATAAAATAATGAAAACATTTTTATATATAAATTGTAATATTATAAAAAATTGTGGTTGTGCAGCAAAGAAACAGTCTAATTATGAAATTTAATTATCGCAAGATATATAATTTTGATGTTATACAAACAAAGTATGATATTTTGGAGGCGAAAATTAAATTGAGAGCGGACAAATAATGTAAGTATATAATAGTAATAAGAGTTATATTTATGTACGCAAACCTTATACCTTGTCATCATTAATATTAAATAAAGTATAAAATATGCACATACCTTCGCGAGTCAGTTCTGTGTTTTATCCAAACTGGATCCTCTGGTGCCGCAGCTGCTGGATTTGTCGCAACAGCATCTGCACCTAGAACTATTAACAAGATATCGATTATATAATTAGCTATTAACATAGAGAAAGAGATACGGAATATATTTTCAGTATTAAATATAATAAGCATAGAAAGAAATGTTTTATCTCAAACTCGTAAAATTTAACTAGAGAATGTATTTTTAAGCTGACATTTTTGAAAAATACATAAAATCGCATAAAAAAGAGATGTAAAATGTGTGTTTTACATCTCACAAATTCTATTGAAAATAGACAAAAACTTTAAAAATAAATTTGATAATTATAAAAATAAAAAACTTGTGTATTCTTTCTCGTGAAATATTATACTAGTAAGAAAGTGGCCAATTCGAGGCAATAACCAGAATCTTCGGATCAATAAACTTCTTTATTTTTGTATAGTTTTTAACAAACGTTTCAACTCTTAGTTTGGGTCTTCTTCAGTGTACTACATATGACAGTATACAAATATATTAAACAGAACTAACGCAAGGGATTAATAACGTAACACATAATCCCAATTACAAGGTTTTTGAAAACTTACAGGAAGGTTCGTAGATGTAAGAAGAACTCAGTCTATCGTGTTTAATATATTTGTTTATTGTCATATGTAGTACACTGAAGAAGACCCAAACTAAAGGTCGAAACGTTTGTTAAAAACTATACAAAAATAAAGAAGTTTATTGATCCGAAGATTTGGTTATTGCCTCGAATTGGCCACTTCCCTACTAGTATAAAATAAATAAAACTAAAAAATTTTCGTACCGTAAAATCTATACAATCTTTTCTAGATATTAGTTATTTTTTTAATAAAAAATATCAGTTATTTTTTTAATAAAAAATATTATTTTAATAAAAAATATTATTTTTGTCACAAAAAATATGATGCAAAAATTACACGATATTTCACAAAAACATACTGTGCCCGAAATTACGAAAAACGGCACTGCAAATGTATAAACTTACTTTTAATAATTGAATTTTGTTATTTTCTGCGTTAAGTTCAAACACGTGCAAAATATTTTACGTGGGAATATCGATTTTTGTTTAGATTTGCAAAATATATGTACTGAGATAAAATGTAATAGTAATATATTTTGTAATTAGTTTATTTGAAAGCAACGTAGCACTCGAAATGCGCAGTGTTAAAGCGCGATCGTTTTACAGGAATAATGAATAAATCATTGTAATAATAGAACAGCAACAGTGTTATAGTTACAGTCGAAATTCTGCCGAAATTCACGTAAAAGCTGAGCGAGAAGAACAGATGCTTTCACGGATGCAAACGGGCAAACAATAGCTGAACACTCCAGAAGATTTGAATGCAGGAAGTAAAGCTGTATATTCATTGAAAGCGCGGCAAGAAATATCGCGCGAACTGTTAAATTAAACTGGATTTTCTTATACCGCTCCTGTAATTATCTCAAAAACAAGAACAGTTTGCGTGTATGCTCATTATCGAATCAACTGTCACAAATGTTCGAAAGAGAGTGAGTTAAGCTACGTATAAATCGCGCGGTCTCGCTATAGAAATATATTTTAAAGAAGATACATGTTCGGCGAAGTCGTAAAGATAGATGGATTATGTTCCAAGTTTTTCCATTCATTTGTAATGATTTGACGTTACCGATCTACAAAGTTTCCGAGTAATAGTTTGCTGCCGTTAATATCATAGTTTGTCTTTTAACCTATTTTTTTATTGATTTTGAAGCAGCGCACCGCCTCCTTTATCTATGCAAATCGTATCGCATAGCTATTTCAAAGATAAAATCATAGCTAGTTCTATTTTTTGTAGTTGTTTTAATGAAAGTATCATAGCGTGGCGTAGAGATTTAATTTTACAAGAAGATTGTATAGAAGCTCTTCTATAAGCGACAAATTAATTTTTATAATTAATAAGTAATAAATCCGGAACAAAATCTTATTAATATCTTGTAAAAATGTTTATAAAAAAAGAAACACAGAAAACAGAGATAAATAATTTTAAAAACACTTAACATTAAAACATCTGTGGAAATTATTTTATTTTGATTGTTCTAAATTTTTAATTAATTGGAAGTGCACATAAAATGTTATTGGTACGTGCGCATATACGTAAAATGTTATTCGTTTTCTTGTATTAGCTTGTTTTTATATATTTTTTGTATACAATGTTATGTATATATTAGTCTCATAATTTTATGTTACAATTTGAGGAAACAAACAATGTACGCACAACTTTTCCAAAACTAATAAACAATACAATCGCAAATATAAGTAGAAAAACACGCAAAACAAGGCTTTTCAATATATTTTAAAATTACTTTTATTTGTCGCTAAAATATTTTTATTGTTGTTTTAGAAAAACAGTTCGTGACGAACTAGACATTAGTAGCATTTACGAAACAGAGAGAAAATGATTGAGCATGTAGTTAGAATGATTCTGAGCATTAACGTTGTGTGTGAGTAACGGGACAGGTATTAAACGTCAGAATAATCGAGTGCTTAAAAGAAGATTAGTGGTTTAAGCTTTTAAATATTCAAGGGTACCAGAACTCACGGACATGAATCACGAAAAGATCAATAATCGAGTCTGTACATAATGTGAGTACGTGATTAATTTAATTCTTCTAGCTTACTTTAAAATAACTTTTATATATATATA